GGGCTTACGTCACAGAATTCTCACTTTATTCTGGCTCGAGCACTCGCGCAGATTAAGAGCTCATTGCGCGCTGCTATTCCACTCTCTTCGAATAAATACGGAGAGGAAAAATATTCAAATTGTAAGGATTTCAAATTGGGCGAGTTGGTTGTTCAGTTGGTCGACGTTGCCAGCCCACTGAAAAAGCTGTCACTCAGGCTTTCACACACACAGGGAACAAAACTTGCGCTGTGTGAGAGTATTGAGAACTGTATATATGAGAGTGTGAGCGCTGTGTGAGAGTTTTGCTTTTGATTAAATTGCTAATATTCCTTGGCCTGAAATGCATGAGAAATTATTCTTCCTAAGCTTCCTCGCACGAGACCATATGACTTGCGTACCCCAAGATAACAAAAAAAAAGAGAAAGAAAAAGTCTTGCCGTAGGGAGATTAGTAAATCGTTTTCGTGCGTCTACTCCACTCATGGAGTCATCCGGCGCCAAAGTGTCCAACCGAAATTTTTATCGGTTCGGTTCGGGTTCGGGTTCGCGGCTTTCGGTTCAGTTCCAGTTCAGTTCTGGGAAGCAAAAATGACGGTTCGAACCAGTTTGAGGTGCTAAATTGAGACTGTATTTTCCGCGTTGTTTTGGCAATAGGCACTATTTACGCCGTGAAACTATTCACTGTACAATCTTTTCTATCGTTCGTACAATGCACTTTTATTTTCAGGTGCCAAAAACATAAGATCCCGTTATTTAATTGCAACGCAACAGTAAAAGAAAATCTACTTTCACATACAAAAACGTAGTGTCCATAAGGCTCAACATCCCTTTGCTTACCAGGCTCACGTACATAATTTACCTGAATCAGAATGTTTAAGTAATAGTAAAGAGCTGAATTTTCGGTACCGTATTTTTCGGGCAATAGTCTGCAGGGGAATATTTGAGGTCAAAAATAAAAGTTTTTGCTTAGATAGTCCGCGTGTTGTGCATATAGTCCGCCCTGGTGCTTAGTAGACACGAAAATCTTTTCATACACGACGCACCTTGACAAATATCTGCTCTCTTAGCTCCCAATGTCTGCTCTTTCATTCACAAAAACCGTCACGTCTTCTCACGATGAACGACCTTGCAGAACAAATTTCCTGAATATTCCGCCCGCGTCCTTTCTTCCTTTGTGTTTTTAAACATAGTTCTAAATTTCAGGCTGATCTATTTGCAAATGTCAAAATGCTGTCGCAAAGTGTGGTAGCTAGGCACATAGAATACCCGTGATTGGTACAACTTTGCGTCGCAGTATTAAAAGGTAAATCACCATATATATCATGAACTATGGTCTACGCAATACGTTTCACAATATATATATATATATTCTGACGACACAACAAGCTAACAGCAATAAAATGTTGAAAATGTCACGAAATTATTAGGACAAGCTTCAGTCTATCTTTTATAGAAAGACTGAGCGGCAATCACAATGCTTGTTTTTCTAACCAAACCTTGTTTACACTCAGCACCGTGATGCAGACAACGAATCATGTAGATACGAGTGATAGAAGTTAATCAATAAGTACCTTCGCACTCGGATCGAATCTGCCCGAAAGTAGCGTTTGCCCAAGTGAACATTGCCTTATACAAGATAAACCGAAATGGCTGGGCTGGCATAGCCTGGCTGTTGAGGTGTGTTCTTGACAAGATGCGGCCAATCCAATTTGCGAATAAGTATCACATTTGCTAATCGATCATTTTTCGTTAAATAAAACGAAGTAGTATTTCATGCTCTTCTCATACTTTCTGACGGTTTGCGTGCGTAATCGTTATTGTTCCACCACGCGCCCTACTTTGTTTTGTCCAGCTCACAGACACATAAAAGATATTTTCACCACATAAAAGAGGTAAAAACAGACCTATATATTTCAGGAACACATAGTTATTTAAATTAGCTTCATAATCAGAAATTTGTGTGAGGCTCTCGTGACTTACGACGTGCCTATCGAGGGTAAAAACGCCGGAAAGCATTTGCTGGGTAAAAACGCCGGAAAGCATTTGCAGAGCATCTTTCAGATAATTTGGGGGTGCATTTACTTATGATGTATATCTTTAAGCTGATCGACCTTTTATTTTTGTTGTCAAGTGTTCAGTCCGTACTTGAGTATATGTTTATTATCATCAATAATGTTTACTTTACGAAGTTCACAAAACCGCTTGAGACCGACACGAAAGGACGATACTCAACAGTCGCCGGGTATGCCAAAAGGGAGCTTAGGCTCACATGATAGATCGGAAGGCAAATACATGAAATGGGCAGAGAGAAGGAGATAGTAAGTTATATTTTTCTAAATAATCGCTGACCCAACGCCTTAGTGCAAAAAGGCATACATAAAGATGCATGCACCATTACTCCTAATTATAAATAAATAGCGCCAAGGACAGACATAAGATTCTTAAAATCGTAATATAAATCACATTTCATCAGCTGGCATGAGCTCGAAACCGCTAAATACTGCCTCAAAAGGCTAAAGTTATATTCGGTTTTGCGTACACTTGTTTTGGGCCCTCACTTTAGAACTCTGTAAAGTGAGAGGCCCGAACTTAGTCATGCGTCCTAACATTTTATTAAGCTGCCGTATATCATCGCGAGACTGTGCTGTAAATGCTGCACAACTTTACAATTTAGACACCTATGGTTGCGAACATCGCATTCCACCAGAAAGCTGAACTGCGTGACATGGTATGCACGTGACGTCGTCACACTATGTGCTGGTGGTCATTGCTATCTGTTCTTGCTGAGCAAATCGAATCCGATGGTGCAAAATGCACGCTGCAGAATGTTCGTGCTCAGTTCATGCCAAGTATTTGAGAGGCGCATATTCTTTTTTATAGTGCATCGTCGTGAGGAACGGCGCGAAAGTCTGACACGACGAAAACGCGCGTTCTGGCGAGGGTGTTTTTGCAAACGAAGTAGTTTCCGGCATGATGATAATGCGATTAACGCAAAGGTGCAAGCGAACTGGACAAGAATGGCTAAAATAATCCCCAGAGAAGGGAAAGAAGAGGGACAAAGGACAAACACGAATCTTCAAACACAGCTAGCTGAACGGTGCGCGACCGAAGATGCGACCGTTTACGTGGGCCACGGCGCAACCGGAGACGCGACCGAAGAAAGAGAGAGAGAGAGAGACACACACAAAAACACAGACACACACACACACACACACACACACACACACACACACACACACACACACACACACACACACACACACGTGTGTGTGTGCGCGCGCTTACAAAAATGATCAATGAGTTTCCATTGACTTTCTATTGTGTTTCTATAGTATCAATTGAAACTCAATATAAACTCGATGTCTAATGAGTTTGTTCATTAGGAACTCAATTTTGATTCTATTGAATTTGCTCATTAGCAATGCTATTCAGACTGATCATAAGAAACTCAATATCGATTCTGTTGACTTTACTCACTAGGAGTGCAATTGAGTTTGATCATTAGAAAGTCGATATCAATTCTAATGAATTTACTCATTAGGGATGCCATAGAGTTTTATTATAAGAAAGTCATTATCAATTCTATTGAATTTACTTATTAGAAATGCAATTGAGTTTGGTCATAAGAAACTCAATATCGATTCTATTGAATTTACTAATTAGGAATGCAATCGAGTTTGGTCGTTTGTGGATTACTGCACCGAACGATTATTGTTTGTACCATCGTTTTTCTATGAGGGATAGAGTCCAATGACGTCGAAACACTGTTTATCATTTATGAGACTTCCAAGGGGGAAATAAATGCTGAGGTGGTCACCGGCCAAATGAATACCTTTCTTATGTAGGGTATATAAGGCGGTGGGGTAGTCAAGGACAGTACGATTAGTGGGTTGTGAGTGCTTAGTTATGATGTTTGTGTTCATTTCCTCCATGTGCTTTGTTTCCTTCATGTTGCATGCTACAAGGAATTATACAAAAAAATTCTCAACGAGTTGCAATTTTTTTTAAACGCAGTTGCAATAGATTCTATTGAAATACGTTGCAAAAATTAAATTGAAACTCAATTGCAATATTTTTACTGAAACTCAATTGCAATATTTTTATTGAAACTCATAAGCAAAAGTTATCTTGAAACACTACTGCCAAAATTCAACTGAAATGCAATTGCTAAAGTTCAATTAAGACTCAGTGGCCAATACCCTGGTACGGTTCAATAGGGGCTTATTAGAAAAAGTCAATTGAGTTTCAATTGAGACTGAATGCAGTCTATTGAGTGAGTCCTTTACACTTTCAATTGAAACTCAATTCATTTTTGTAAAGGATATATATATATATGTATATATTAATTGTCCCTTCTTTCTTTTCACTTTTTTCCCCCTTTATATGTTTCGTCGCTCTTCCAGACAATACTTTTTATTCCTAAGGGACACCCCCTCCTCCGTTCTGAGGTGTTAGTTCAACAAGTATATTTGTCACTTATTAATAGTAACCATCCGTCATGCAGCGCAAGTGTGAAAAAAAAAAATATAAAAAAAAAGACTGAGTTGCTTCGAGAGGTCTTTGCCAACTAGAAAGGCTACGAGAAAGAGGGGAAAAAAACGGTACAAAATGAGGACATGAGGATTTTTAAACATCGCGTCCCGCTCTGAAGTTAAGCTTGAAACACATGTACGACGAAACCGTCTGATCCGACCTCCGATGAGGCAACACGACGACCGGAGGCGAGGGCTTTCAACGCTCTCTGGTGCTACGAAAACCCTCTCCCCCAAGGTCATCCCGGCAGTCCGCACTTCGGATCGGACGGTTTCGTCGTACATGTGTTTCGCGCTTTACTGTAAGTGCGCAGGCGAGCTGGTTTTAGCTAATCATGTTTAACACTTGTGTGGCTAGTGTGGGTTTATATAGGATGCTTGAGAAATAAACCAATTAGCTGAGTTGGAGGCGTTCCGTTCTGTGTCTCTTCCTTCGACTAAACTTTTTTTTCATTTTTTTTTTCTTCTTTTCTGCATTACAGTCTCAGATGGCGCGACACGTCCGAATGCTCAAGGGCTTCTCCAAGGTCCTGGACTGGAGGCAACTCGAGTTCCTCAACCCGCTGCCTCGGGTCCTCGTCTGCGACCTCTGCGGCATCCTGACCAAGCGGCCGGCCTTCCCCAACTGCCGCCACTTCTTCTGCGCCGGCTGCTTTAACCGCGTGCTCCTGGGGAAGCCTCCCAGGTGTCCACTGGACGACATCGAGCTGGAAGGCAGCGTCGAAGTCAGCTACGGTCTGGTGGTGGACGACGAGAGCTTGATGAGGATGACCGTCCGCTGCCCCAATGCGGGCCATGGCTGCGGACACGAGGGACTGCTGAAGCAGCTGGAAGACCACATCCTCGGCTGCGAGTTCAATCCAGTGTCGTGCAGCAAGTGTGGGGAAGTGGTCGCCTACAAGAACGTCGTCGATCATCATGCGCTCTCTTGCAATGCGAGGCCGAACAAGGAATCCGAAGACCCAAAGACCGAAGACGCAGAGTCTCAGAAGCCGGCTGATTTGGACGCTGTCGAGTGAAAGGCCAAAGAGCTAGCAATCTCGTTGCACCGTCATCATATATCCTGTCTTTTGTCGCAATGGTCTGCTTGTGGATTAGTCGTATGTTCATTAAACATAATTATATGAAAACAAAACGTTTTATGTCGATACCGTTTTCAGTTTTTCTTTGAGTCTTGAATGGATCGATCGCTCTATAAAATGTACGGAATATGATTCACGATATTGCTGTGAACGATGTCATCGCAGGTCAGAGAAAAAGGAACGCTGTAAAACGAAATATCGCCGCCTGCACATCAAACATTCACTGGATTTACATTTGGGTGGTGCATTTTACCTGGTGAAAATTGAAAGCGTATAAGTCCCTTTCTGTGAAAGCTCAAGCCAACAAACTTGACAGGTGTAAAGTTCCGGAACCTTTTTATTTGTTGTCTTACTTCGTCTGGAGGCCCTGCGCGAACGATTTTGGGGGAGACGTGTGGGGTTCACTTGGGGATGTTTATGACCTTTGGAAGGGAGAAGTTTATGCGCGGGTCGGGGAGCTTCCTTTGCGGTGCAGGTGTCCCGTTACCCGGGAACAGGCCCGCGCCCCACTCGGCTGCCTGCAGCTGGGGTGGTCGACCAGTGCCACCGCTGGTCGACCACCCCAGCTGCAGGCAGCCGAGCGTTGACACGGTTTATTTCTTAACGGGCAGTTAAGAAATAAACCGTGTCAACAACCTCTTTCTGGTATCCAACAAGCCTATTTGGCTCCCCACTATGTGACGAGACAAGGAATGACGGCAGGTGAGGGGACAAATTTGTCTGGATGAACGTGCGTATGAATGGGTGCTCTTGATCTCGTAGGAAAACAAACCGAGAAACAAGTTGTTTAACGAACAAGTGAGATAGTCCGAGACCCCCGTTACGTACCCTATGGAAGAGGTTGTCCCGTCTCATACGCTCCCAGCTCGTTCCCCAAATGAATACGGCAAAAATGCGGTGAAATTTCTGCACATTGATGCGCGCACAATGTATGACTTGCAAAGCATACCAAAGCTTTGAGATTAGAAAAACATTACAAACAGTCGCTTTGGCAAAGATGGACAGACCACGCTGCCTCCAGCGGGAGGCGCGCCTGCCCAAGTCAGTGGCGACTTCCGACCAATAGTTTTTGTTCATTCTGTAACATATTAGGGGAACTCCGAGGTATGTGCAGGGCACGCAATCCCAACACACCCCTTCAAAAATTGAAGGCGTTGTGGCCCACGCACCGTGCCAAAACCCGCGGCATTTACTCCAGTTTATTGCTGCACCCGTCGCCTCGCAGAAAGATTTTGCCAATAAAACAGCGGCGCTAACACTTCGCTTGTCGCAGCAAAACACTGCAATGTCGTCCGCATAGCTCATGACTTTGATCTCAGCATTTTCCAGCTGGGATCCCTGACATTGCTTACTATTAAAACACTTAAACAAAACAACTCTAAGTACACATTAAACAGTAAAGGCGACATAGGACATCCCTGTCGCACGGACGTTCTCACGTGGATCGGCTCTGTCAGTTCCTTATTGACAATAAGCCTCGTGGTGCAGCCTTTATATGCCATTTTTGCCCCTTCCAAAATAACTTCGCCCGCATTTATGCGGTGTAAGACATCAAAAAGAACATCGTGCTTTACGCGATCAAAGGCCTTGTCTAGGTCGATCTGGAGCATAGCAACTTGTCGCGTGCCATTGTCACAAGCCTCCAGAACGCTACGAGCAACACGAACGTTTGTGAAAATCGATCTACCCTGTATGCCGCAGGTTTGGTGATCTCCGATAAGCTGACAAGCAACACTCTGGAGTCGGCGAGCTAGGATTTTCGCGAAAATCTTATCATCTGCGTTGCACAGTGTTATTGGGCGGTACCCAGTGACTTGACATAATTTTCCGACGTCGTCGCTTTTAGGAAGTAAAACAGTGAAAGTACGCCCAAATGACGGAGGTAGTTCTTTCCGTTCGTACGCTGCTGAAACAACTCGGAACAAAACGCTAGAGGCTACGCTCTTAAACTTCTTGTAAAATTCAGCACATAACCCATCAGGTCCGGGAGCCTTTGAGTTTGGCATCTCATCTATGGCCTTCTCGATCTCCTGAATGGTGATTGGTTGAGCAATACTTTCCTGCTCTTCTTCCGTTAGTTGCGGTAAGGATTCTAACAGGGCCCACACACGGGATCCCTCCTGCCGAGATCTTGGCTTTCGAAGATCCGCTTGTAATGCGCCACAAATGCTCTCTGGATAAATTTTGGGTTTGTGCTGGTCACACCCTGATACTGGATCTCACCCATTTCGTTCCGGAGACCGTATCTCTTCTCGTCTGCTAACGCCCGTTTCGTCGGCTGCTCACCCATCAGATACTTTTCGGATCGAGCGCGTACAACGGCTCCGCGATAGCGCTCCTCATTCAGCTCTTCCAGCCTCTCCTTAACACTTTTTAAATCTTTAGTAGCCGCCCCGGGCGACTGGCACTCTGTTCTTGTCAGCGCTTGTAAGTCGGCATTTAAGTTTCTTTCGGCGCGGCGTGCCTGGTATGCTAAAACAGACGACCTTTCTATCGCCAGCATCTTAACCTTCTGCTTGAAAGTCTCCCACTCGTCAAAAATATCACCGCCCGTGCTTTCAAAATGCGATCTAAAACCTTCCTCCACCGCGCTCACAAATATTCCGTCAGCGAGGACTATACAAGTTCAGCTTCCACAGCCTCCAGTCAAACTTCGCTTCCATTGGCGCTTTTTCGCCAATCGACGTCGAAATGAAACAATGGTCAGAAAAGAAAACTGGAGCGACACGATAGCTCTTTAGTGTAGTTGCCACGGAGGCTGAAACGTAAATCCTATCTAAGCGCGCGTGCGATGACGCCTGAAAATGCGTAAACCGAATCTCGCTCGTATTCTTCACGGTTCCGGCGTCTATCAGATCGAAATCTTCAATCAATTCGCCTAGCTCTGTCTCGCTCCTATCGCTGCATGGTCTGCATGGCGTCCTGTCTATTGCTCTAACAACACAGTTGAAATCACCAAGCAGTACGATTGTCCTATCAGAATCCAGAAAACGGCGTAAGCCATAAAAAAAGGAAACCCGCGGTCTTTCACCGTACTGGGGGCATATATGCAAATAAGCCGCCAGTGAACTGCTGAAAATAAGAAATCACACAAAATAAGACGCCCTTCCATATCGGTGGTCACGGCTAATTCCGACAAAGGCAATGACTTTCTAATGAACAAAAAACAGCCTGCCGAAACCCCGACAGCGTGGGTAACGCAAACTTCGTACGTAAGAAGAAAAGGTCTTTGTGCGTTAGCTACCTGTTCCTCTTCAGACATCTTAGTTTCTTGCACCGCTAAGAGATCGGGTTTCTCGTTACTCAGCAAACGCTGTACTTGGTATTGTTTTTTTCGTGCTCCGAAACCTCGAATATTTAGCGATGCTACCTTCAATGCTGGTGGGAACGTACAAATCATGCCGTGTTAAAATGGGGCACTTGCCTTAGCGATTGCGCATAAGTTCTCGAGACCAGGCGATAACCGCCTTACTTGGAGTCGTGCCGGGTCCGAACGTCGGAAGGGGTGGCGTGTGGGGGCAGGAACCGCCCCTTTTTGTTCCTTTCCTTGCCCTGGTTAGGCTTAGGAACCGCACCCCCCAGGGAGGGTTCGGGGTCGTCGAGGCCGCGCTTGATGGACTCGCCAGTTTCATCCATGTCGATGGGATCCTTGGACGACGCCTCCTCGTTTGGCGGGGAGTGGACGACGGTTGGGGCTTTGAAGCTCTCGGGAGTCACCACCGCTCGAGAAGGTTACGCGCCGTCCGGAACTGTAATCACGGGCGCCGACTCGTTTCCACCCTTGGCGCCGAGGACCGTTGTCCTGCCATCGGGCCCGGCGAGTGCCTTGAGCTCCAATCCACTTACTGCAGTCTCCGCCTCATCCGCATCCATGATGTGCGGTGAGACCTCTCGTGCTGCCGGTGCCGCCGTCGCGCCTGCGTAGGTCTTCACGCGTTCTTCTTTGTCATGCCCGAAACGGAAACACTTTGAGCACTTCGGGGTGCGGCAGTAGCGCCTGATGTGCCCGGTCACTTTACAGCGCAAGCAGACCGGCGCGCGTCCTGGGATTACAATAAGTGCATTGAAGCCCTGGAAGCGAAGCTGGTGGGGCATCCCGTCTGGTGTGACACCGCTCCTAAGCGTCATGCGGACGATGCGTGTGGTCGACTCGATTCCTTCGAATCCTTCGACTCGCCACTTCTCTCGGCTCATCTCGACGATCTTGCCGAAGGGCTCCAACATTTTTCGCACCGTGTCGTCTGGTACATGGAAGGGCACCCAATGGACACGCAGGCGTACCTCGGAGCAGCTCGGGTCGATGACGATGCAGCGCAAGTTCTTGACATTGAGCTGTTTGGCCTCGACGAGACGTTGCTTCGCCTCCGGTGTGAAAACACCGGAGGCGAAGCAACGTCTTGTCGAGGCCAAGCAGCTTTGCCATCCACACATGGTTCATTTGGAATGCTCCAAATGACAGAATCTCGTTTAAAACGCCACACCTTTTCAGCTCGGTCTTGAAGTCCTCGATGCGGTAGGCACGCCCTTTCAAATCGCCGTGCAGCAGAACAGAGTTCATGACCGCCATCCCGGTTGGGATCGGGGGTAACACCACTTTGTAGTCATCGGCAACAGCCGCGCTATCAACAAAAGAACCACGGCCGGCAAGGGCCGCTATCGCCACTCCATCGGAGCTACTCATTCTGCGACCGCCTCGTGCGAGCGCAGGAACAGAATGAGCTAACCAGGGGTTAGACGTCAGTACAGCAAACGGGTTTTATCAGTTGCCACCAGTCTAACACAAACAGGGTGAAGCTTGCAAGTTAATGTTGTAATTATAATGCAATTAAATGCAAAGGTGCAAGCGAGCTGGACAAGATTGCATTATAATTGCAACATTAACTTGCAAGCTTCACCCTGTTGGTGTTAGACTGGTGGCAACTGATAAAACCCGTTTGCTCTACTGACGTCTAACCCCTGGTTAGCTCAGTTGGTAGAGCGCTCCACCTGTAATGGAGAGGTCCCGGGTTCGATACCCGGACCAGGCGGATTTTTTCGGCCGCTCACCAGTCAC